GTTTAGTTAGCATTTTTAGTTTTCTCACTGAAGCATCCCTGAGCGGTGCATGTTTATTAACTACATGATTTATAGTTTTATAAAGGTGAGAGAACGACTTGTTTACGTCGCAATTACCAGAAACCTCTTCCCAATTAATTGCACTTAGGTCATTCATGAATTCATTAGCATGAAAGCTGGAATAATCCCTAAATTTAGTCTTTTTTGTATGTGGTAATTTTTGCTTGTTTACGTTGACAATACAGACTTGCGTGTCACCCAGCGGGATAAAAGAAAGGCTATTCTAAAGGGAGAGAGTTACGACTCCTCAGGATTAATTCTTCAAAACAAATATTTGTTCAGAACAAAACTAGCGGATAGAGGCGAAGAGAAACAATGTGAAAAATTTTATTAACAACACACTCTCCGTTGTGAAATTAGAAGGACGTAAACTATTTAGCTCGACAAGCTGCCACGATGATCGACAGATACGTTTCGTATTGCGTTTTTTGTTGTTTCTCTCTCATAGACTTGACTTAACTATTTTAAATTGTAACCTTGGTAAAAATTGTGAAGTATACGGTTTACTATACTTATCATTTATCCCTTGAGTGAGTCTGCTGATCATTGTCAATAAACAAAAGTAAAATGTCGGTTGTTTTTCGTAACCTTATGTAAGACTGAATTAACTGAGCGTTCTATTAAATTGGTTACAATTAAAAGAAATGAACTTGATTTTGATCGATGGATAAGAAACAGCTTACGATATGATCCTTGCAAGGTGACCGTACGCTCAAAGAAATTTCAAAAGAGAAGCTTTCAAAGATATTCGCGCTGCGCCAGGAATCAAACTGGTGCTACCGGATAGTGCATGGTTGCTGCTACAAGAGACAAGAGTTTAGTGTCGAGAGCGAGGCAAATTTTAGTGGGCTCTTCATTATCGTAGGAGGAATCCGATGACAATTGATTCAAATAAATTGCACTTGTTCATACTTACCTGTTCCTCAGTTTCTTTCTAACTGTGCAACTATGGGGAAATAGATTGCCATGTAGTCTCCATATTCTGTTTGAAAATTGACCGAATATCATTTCATTCAAGCCTGACAATGAACAACTGAATAATTCTTGAAATAGGTATTGGAATAATGAGTAGAAGCAAGAACGTGAGTCATACCCTTACAAGCGGGTAGTGAACGAATAGATGCAGCTTTTAGAGTGGATATTAACTGAGAAAAAGCTGGTCTGTCCATTGTAGAAGAGAGTATAGATTGCTTTAAACTGAACTTCTGATTTCTTTTTTCTTTTTTGTAACCCAACTATAGTGATGTCTCGAACAACGAGCTCCAAACGTTGCCAGAGGGAATATTTGACAACCTGACCAGCTTAACTAAACTGTAAGTATATATCAACTGATTAATTGATTGATGAACGAGAGTAAGCGTCTTTACTTGTTACATGCGTGTTCACTAGTATTAAAAGATTAAGTATTTACAGGAATCTTGAACGCAGATTTCTACTTTGACTTAAAAATCGTGATCGTGATAGCAGTACGACGCTATATCAACCATGATCCAGCTTTGCAGATCAAAAGTTATGATTAGGGTACATTGCGAGCTCCTATGAAATAAAAGCAATAAACTATGAGTTACCGAAAACTTTCCATATATAACTACAGCGATCAGTTTTTTTATTTCAATTGGGAGACGTTCTGCCTAAATACATTTACGACGTCGGAGAATACAAACAGGTGAAATTTATGGAAAACATTACATAATATTTATAGACCCCAAGTATCATGTAATTACAATTACACTAACATTCCTGACTTTAAAGCAGCTCTCTCCATCTCTATTATTTTACACGGAAGGAAAACAGAGTCGTTTGAGTCCAGTGATAATTAATATTAAAATACGCATCTGCAATCAGATAAACACTGGCTTTTTTTACGAGTGGCTTTCGCGCGAGATGAAAATTAATCGGAGGGTTATAAAATGAAGAACTCCTTTCTGGTTTTATAGTATGTGTTGGCTGACAATGTCCTTTGCTGGGCATGAGATAGTGTCCTCAAAATTTCAAGGTATCCCTCGAAGCTTCGCTTCTCGGCCTAATATTGATTTCTCAGTCAATTTTCGAGCCGTGGACTTTATCCGCCGACATACTAGCTGCTTGAAGGGGTTTATTTACAAACTCATTAAGGAACTGAATTTTGGAGTAGTGAGACTCAAGGCCACTGGTTATGTTTATGACAAGTCGCGTTTTATCAATGCGTTATACTCCCACAAAGCTCATGAAGTATTCTCTATTAACATCGAGTGAGTGGAATGAACAAAGTTGACGTGGTGGGGAGACTCTGCTCGGTTGAGGGAAAGTAGGGCGTCACAAGTGACCCGCTACTTTCCTTCGTTGATAATGTTCAGCTTAAAATTAAGTGGTCGTTTGTTCGGTGGTTATTTTAACCTGATGTGGAAATATATGAACTTAATGGTCCCGTACTCACAATTTAGAAATAAAATCAGTGTTGACGGAGGTCAAGTTTACCGGTGCAGCTCTCTTCCAACTGAAGTAACAATCCAACTGCGAGCTGGTCATTCCAAATTTGGTCAATTCTGAATTTTTTTTCGAGCCTTATTTTCACCACTGAAAATAAGGCCCTGAAAAAAGATGTTGCTCCGACGATCGCTTTCAATGTTATTTCTTAAACTGCAGTTTACATATATATAATTTGCATATACTCATAGTCATTGATTCATCACTACACGGTTTTATTACGAACCAACATGATGACCAGCTCCCACTTGGCTTGTTGACTCAGTTGGTAGAATACTGCATTTCGAATTGATATGCAGATTACGATCGACTCTACTTCGGTCCTAGATTACTGTTTCTACTTGCCCATTCCCGGTTCCTGACTTTTAAAGCATCCGTTTCCATCTCTATTATTTTACACGGACAAAAAACAAAGTCCTTCGAGTCCAGCAATAATTAACATTACAAAACGTATCTGCAATAAGATAAACACTTGCCTTTAGACGAATGGCTTTCGTGTGAGATGAAAGTTAGTGGGAGGCTATAAAATGAATAACCCCTTTCTGATTTTGTGGTATATGTTGGCTGATAATGTCCTTGGCTGAGATATTGTCCTCAAAATTTCAAGTTTTCCTTCTAGCTTTACTCCTCGGCCGAATATTCATTTTTCGGTCAATATCTCAGCTGTGGACTTTACCGGCCGCTCGAAAGGGTTTATTTACAAAACTAGGTAGGTATGAGACTCGAGGCCACTGGTTTTGGTTATGGCAAGTCGTGCTTATCAATGCGTTGTACTCCCACAAAGCCCATGCAGTATTCTTTATTAATATCGAGTGAGTGGAATGAACAAATTGACGTGGAGGGGAGACTCTGCCCGGCCGAGACTTTCTCAAAAAAAAGATGCAAAGTTATTACATCATTTCTCAGTATTAAGGTGACTATACTGATCAGTCTAATTGAGCGACGAAGCTAAGTGTTGGCAACAAGGCAACTTTTAGTGGGCTGTTAATTTTCGTAGGTGAATCTGATCGCAACTTATTGAAATAAATCGTACTTGTTTATAGTTACTCATTCTTCGATCGTTTTTATCCTGTGCAACTCGTGGGCAATAGATCGCTATTTATTACTTTGAAGGGATAGTTTACGAGATCAATCACAAAGGGTGGCAATTTCTTTTTCAACTGTGTCTTCAAAAGCATGTCTCTTGTTCAGTTCACTTTGAATGCAACCATTTAAAGCATGGTAATCAGCATTTAAGAGACCAATTACTGAAGCAAAGAGTTCGTCTTTTCTTCTCTTGTCTCTAAAAAAATTTAGTGAAGGGTAAAGATTTACGTTTCTGTTTTTTCGGCGGTTGAAAGCTCAGTTTAGCAGTAGACTGTTTGTTCAACCAGTTTACTGGCTTAATAACCTATATAGGATATTGCGAAAACAAGTATATTGCATTTTTGTGTTGTTTATTTTCTTCGCTTTTGTTATCACGAGCCAAATAATGTTGATCCACATAATTATCGAGTTAGCAGATCAGAATTTGCGTAATACCGTAGTTATTTTCTTTGCAGCTATATGTAATAGGGAGAGTGCAATGAAATAAATTAAGTACATAATTAATTTTAAAATGTATTTCCCTTTATTCATTGTAATCGTCATAAATGCTCTTACGTCTACACTGAATTACCTTGTATGAGCTGTGCATAATCAGGTAGAAACACGACTGTGAGATCGACATCACCAACGTGCTATGCGGAAAGAAATTACAGTAACATTAGAAAAGAGTGGGTGAGCAGATCATAGGGAAGGATAAAACATGTAAAGTGCTTTCCAATGGAAGGAAACGTCCTGTTATAGCAAAATATGCTTCGTGCAAATCAGCATGGAAAAAATTATGATACTGAGAGAAAATGTAAATATGGTAGATTTCACAAGTTTCAATAATTTATGTCATTGTTATTACTAACCTGCTATCGACATCCTTTATTACAGGTGGTTAGATGGTAATCAGTTAAAAGAACTACCACCAAACATTTTTGATAAACTGACCAGGCTGCAGGAATTGTGAGTAGCACTCTTTGGCTCTATGAATAATGCGGTTATTCACAAGGCTGGATAAAATCAGAAAAAGAAGGAATTCTAAACCTTTTGTTGATTTCAAACGAAACATTTTCTCGAGTTCCTATCAGATATAACTAATATATAACAATTTTCGATGATGATTTAGCTTGGTATTCGCTGACCTTGCATTGTTTCCGAGCTAAACTACTAGATTATTTTTTGCGCAGCAATAAAGATAAAAAGTTAGATTTGCTATGAGCCATAAACCTCAGAAAATAAATCGTGGAGGAAGGAGACATCGATAATGAGTGTCTGGTTTTGGCAACTGCGGTTTAAGAAATGATGGCAATCATCGGTTCATCCCTTATCGGGATTATTACAAACCAATATGATGACCACCTTCCAGTTAGCTTGGTTACCAATAATTGTAAACCGGTTGATAAACATTTTATCATGATGCAACATAGGGACGGTAAAATCAACGAATATTTACGCGTGACCTTGTGGTCTTATCGTTATTATGGCTAATGTTTGGCACGTTGGACCTGGGATCGAAGGGTGCGGGTTTGAGTTCTGGCAGAGACTCTCTTTTCTATTCTGCTTGGGAGCTGGATGCAAATTTCTTTATTTTAAAGATCATTGACATGATCGGATGAAAATTAAAGAATCTAAGGTGAACGCTGAGCTCAGCCAAGTAAGGGACAGTTACGCCTGAGTCACAACTGTATATTCTAGTCTTGATCATGTTTGTCCAACATCATGTTGGTGGAATATGTACAACCACATATACTTGAAATGCCCCTCTCAACATTGTGTCTGATGGATTCCTAGGTTTGTTCTAAATCAAATATATTCTCCTTCTTCACGGGCAAAATTTTTGATGGCAATTGTGCATATATCGAAGTAGAAGAAGGTTTGGAGAGCACGAGAGAAGCGTTGCTCGAGGGGCAAAGGTCTTCTCTTGGGTGGCTACCACACTGGTATTTTGATGGACAGTAATACCAATTTGGAAGACCCGGATGAGCTACTTTTTTTTTTTTTTTAACTCAAATAACGAAGTGTTTGTAGTATTTTGTTAGAAGGAACTGGCAGCTAAACTGAAGGTAAAGATGTAGTTTGTTATAACTCACACGTCATGTTACTTACGTACAGTTGTGCGTATAGTTAATAGCTGGTCCACGATCGTGCGTTAAATATAAGGATGGTAAAAAGCAAAGAAGGGCGTAGCGCCGAGCTAGTTGTGAACGGTCTCGTATCCAACCAAAACAAATAGAATTATAACTTCGGTCAAATAAAACACTTATAAATTTTGCTGTGGTCGCTTACTTATTTTGTTTTTACTCTAAATCCTTTATAAAATTTAAAACAAACTGAAGTCACTGCTTCTTTCTATTGTCAAAACTGAAAAAAAAAATCACAAAACAGAGGTGTTGTTATGCACAGCCTGTTCTCAATATTTTAAATGAATTCAGAAATTTAAAATCCAAGAAGTTTTCAAGAATACGAGAGGAGGAGGAACACTTCTTGGACAAGCATTCAATTACGTTGGAGTTTTAGCTCATCGACAACTGATGCAATGAAGTTGTGCACAGCCTTTGAACAAGTTTCTTGTTTCGTGGAACCGAGCGGAGGAAGTGATCGAGAAAAAGAATTCAGCGAGCAACACTTTAGTAAATTGAGTGACCCAATCTGAACACTGGAAGTGCAATAACCGATGCCAAGAATCTGACAGAGCGATCAAAATCATCATGGCTTCAAAGGAATTAGATACGACAAGCACATGCTATGTTGTTTGGGAAAATAGCCTCCATTTAACTCGAAAAAGTGGTCGTATCCTTTCTATCGAGAAGTGAACATATCTTATGAGAGTGAAATTTAAAGAAAACTCTGACCGACCTGGAAGCCATTGTGAATAAAGGATGCTCAGTACTCGGCCAGGTATTCGTACATAACCGAACGGTTTATCAAAATAGACTAATGAGTCATCGAAATAATACAGAACAATTAGAAAAAGTAAGAGTGCCGCATACCATTATAGTAGATCCTTTTTTTTAAAGTCCCTTGACTTCGACCACATTAGGTTTGCATAGATGGTATGAAGGTTGGCAGAAACGTTTCGGAGACTTGACGTTGTAAACAGGGCGCAAATACACCAGAGTAGTCTCTATGCAATGTATCCTGGTCGAATGGATGGCAAAAAAGAAACTAATACTGTCGTCTTTCGATAACTGAAACCTGCGACAGAAAATTTGAAAGAGCTTTAAATATCGATATATCGATATATATTTCAAAGTTTTGAGAACAAAAGACCAGAACTGAGGAAAATAGGCTTTTTATTGATTTTTTTTCATACAGTGTCAAGATATTTCTATTCACCCTGAAAATTTTGATCAAATTTGATGACAGCATAGTGAACAATCGCTGCTAATAAGCTACCTTTATAATGCTACTCATCTGTAATGCTACTCTGTCGTTGAGTTTTCAAACTCTGATTGCGCTGAATATAGTGATGAAAAGCCAGGTTTTTTGACATTGCTTCATAACAGATAACAAAGGTGGCTGTATGCGCTTTTGAAAAGAAGTCTGACAACTTTTCAAACCACAGGTCACTTTACAACAAAAAACTAAGCAGCCTTCATCCGGGAATATTTTTCTCCTTTTTTGGGGGGAATTATAGAAAACGATGGTTAAAAATTTTAGTCACAGCGACTTTTGTTAAAAATTAGCGTGACCGAATCACAGCACAATATCAAAGTGCTTTCTCTGTAGGTATTTACTAATATTATTATTTAATTCATTAGAAAATACTGGGTGAGCAGAATAAAGTAAAGCAAAAAATATGTTGAGTGCCTTTCAATTATGTGGAACGTTTCCCTATTAGTAAGTGTGCTCAATGGAAAGCAGTAAGGAAAACAAAATAAACCAATAAATTGCCATAATTATTGTCGTAGTTATTGTCATAGTTATTGCTAACCTACCATCGACATCCTTTATTACAGGTAGTTAAATGGTAATCAGTTAAAAGAACTACCACCAAAAGTTTTTGATGGATTGACTCGACTGCAGTACATGCGAGTAGCACTCTCTGGCTGCTTAAAATCAGGAACAGGACCAACCCTAAATTGTCCTTGATTGCAGTATTAAATTTATGTAAAAGATTCTCTGAAGATTTTGTCACACATTGTTGATATTTAACTAGATTTGATAATGATTTTAGCTTGAAATTCGCTTAATTTACCTTACAACTATCTATAGCGGTGAAAGTTTGAATAGGGAGTTCTCGATTTAAGAAACCAACAGAGACATTCCACTCCATTCTAAACAACGTGTCAACCAGCGGGAGCAAAGAAAGGCTCCGCTAAAATGAAAGAGTCACGACTCCTCGGGATTAATTCTTCAAAACAAATATTTGTTCAGAACAAAACTGGCGGAGAGAGGCAGAGAGAGACAACGCGAAAACATTTTTTGAACTCACTCTCCAAGGTGGAATTTGAAGGACGTAAACTGTTTAGATCAACAAGCAGCCACAATGATCGACAGATTCGTTTCGTATGGCGTTTCTGTTGTTTCTCTCTCATAGACTTGACTTAAGTATTTTAAATTGTAACCTTGATAAAAATTATTAAATATTGTTTACCAAGGTAATCATTCATCCTTTGAGTGAGTCTGCTGATCATTGTCAAAAAACAAAAGTGAAACGTCGGTTGTTTTTGTAGCCTTATGTAGGACTGAATTAACCGAACGGTCTATTAAATTGGTTACAATTGAATGAAATGAATTTGATTTGATCGATGGATAAGAATTAACTTACGATGTGATCCTTGCAAGTTGACCGTACGCTCAAAGAAATTTCAAAAAAGAAGCTTTCAAGGATATTCGTGCTGCGCCAGGAATCAAACTCGTGCTACCGGATAGTGCTTGGTTGCTGCTACCAGCTAAGAGACGGAGGGCTAAGTGTCGAGAGCGACGTAAATTTTAATGGGCTCTTCAATATCGTAAAAGGATTCTGATGACAATTGATTCAAATAAATTGCACTCATTCATAAATACCAGTTCCTCGAGTTCTTTTTATCTGTGCAACTATGGGGAAATGGATTGCCATGTATTCTTCATACTCCATTTGGAAATTGACCAGGTATCATTTTCCTTCAAGCCTGACAACGAACATCTGAATAATTCTTGAAATAAGTATTGGAATAATGAGTAGAAGCGAGAACGTCAGTCATACCCTTACAAGCGGGTAGTGAACGAATAGATGCAGCTTTTGGAGGCGATCTTAACTGAGAATAAGCTGGTCTACCTATTGTTGAAGAGAGTATAGATTGCTTTAATCTGGACTTCTGAAGCTTTTTTTTTTTTTTAAACCCAACTATAGGAATGTAGCCGACAACGAGCTCCATACATTGCAGGAGGGAATATTCGACAACCTGACCAACTTAACTGGACTGTAAGTGTATACCAACTGATTAATTGATTGATGAACGAGAGTAAGCGTCTTTTACCTGTTACATACGTGTTCACTAGTATTAAAAGATTAAGTATTTACATGAATCATGAACGCAGATTTCTACTTTGACTTAAAAATCGTGATCGTGATAGCAGTACGATGCTATATGAACCATGATCCAGCTTTGCAGATCAAAAGTTATGATCAGGGTACATTGTGAGCTCCTGTGAAATAAAAGCAATAAACTTTGAGTAACCGAAAACTTTCCATTTATAACTTCAGCGATCAGTTTTTTGTTTCAATTGGCAGACGTACTGCCTAAATACATTTGCGACGTCGGAGAATACAAACGGGCGAGATGTATGGAAAACCTTATAATATTCGTAGTCCACATGTATCATGTAATTACAATTACACTAACTTAACTGAGCCGATGTACTTTTTCCTATTGGGTGATAACTCATCCTCTCCAATTTTTTATAACTCCAATAAATTTTTACATCTGAGGCCGGAAATCTGACTAAGAGATCGTTAACTATGTGATCAAAACTGCAGAATAGAAATTGATAGCGCCCAGTGATCGGACATCTTAGTCGCGTAAAAAAATGATTTTCAAAGGAGGTAAATATTCGAGAAAAATTGAATTAAAATCACTGAAAAATCAAAAATATCTGCGGAAAGTTACCGTTACCTAAGAATTATTTTCTTATTTTTAAATGCGCTGCTTATGAGCTGTATTTGTCATGCTGCTACTCTGAATATTCTCTTTTCGCGAAATATAGATCTTCATTTCGAAAAATAAAGCTTTTTATTTTGCAAATTATAGATTTCCAATTCGTTTCGTCATGTTTCGTTTCGAAAATTACAGTAGGCCCCCGCTACGTAAGAATCAGGAAGAAAAAAAAAGCAACAATAAGTAATAACGTGAAAATAACTGAGGCAAGGCTGCATGCAGACGACGGACAAGAACTTTGAAATGTTAAAGAAGGCGTTCGTCTAAGCATCCAACAACGTTTTGTGGTCTTTTCCAGAAGCGGCTTGTTTTATTTGCTTCATTGCTGAAATGCATAAATGGAACAGTTCTGCCTTTTTTCTCCCCTTTGCCGCCATAACTTAACTAATATCCTCCATCCCACAAATTACTTTTCTCCTTTCCACATTGAATTTCTAGAAAGTTTCGGTCATTTTCACTAACACGGCACTTTCTTCTCTTTACCGATGAGAGCGACTTCCTACTTAGCCTTGTTATCGCGACGTAATTTCGGCACCAGATTTTTTTAATATCGTGAGAACACTGGGAATTGCGGAAATGGCCCATTTCAAGCAAATTCGTTGAGCATCGCGTTGAATTCAAGATGTTAGTGGACTGGCCCTCTATCGCAGAAGGATTCCCAACCTTATTTTCACGAGTAACAATTAACACAATGAAAAATTGTCGAATACCTGTGAAGAAATACTTCCTGGCTGGTCGTCTCGGCCAAGCTTTGGCTAGTCAGAGACCTGTTAACGAATTTAAGATTATTTAGTTTGTTAGACTGATGGAGTTAACTAGCTTAAGAAACTCGTGCAAACGGAGGTACCGGGAGTTTGATAAAGGACTTTCATTCCCTCTCTGCTTAATGACTCTAAATGGCTCTTCATCTGAAAGACTGAGTCTCTGTGTGTTATTCAGCCCCAAGAACACGCTCTTAAATATCCTAACGGTAGGGATGTTTGGGCTTACGCAACAACTGACCTAAGCAGAGTGAACATATTTTCATAACGCTAACCCAAACAATTTCACAAGACATTGGAAATGAACAACAAAGTACTTCAATCTCAACTAATCTTCGAGAACTGAAATCTAGAGAAAACTTATTTTTTCTTTCGCGAAACAATAAGCCATATCCTGTTTGAGTGTTGTTATTCAATGTTCTACAACTATATAATAATTTTAGGGAAAATCTACCTTTGGACCCATAAACAAAAAATCATGAAGCCAAACCTAAGACACTTTAAAGTAATTTTGAAAAAAAACCTAGAGAAAACTTCCCAATGAGGACCCTAATTCAGGTCAAGAACAAACCCAAACATGACCAGCGATGACGATTATCGCACGAGAATTAAACCATATTTCAACACTCAAAGACACATCACTAAAAGGCAAAAATAAATGCGCTGTCTCGCAGCACAGAACAAACCAAGGCTCATATGACTCGCGCAAGGATTTCAAAATCATTTCACAGACGTAAACAATTCAACAAATTTGTGAGTGTTTGTGTTTTTTTTCTAACAGTAAAAATCACTTGGTAAAGATTTCGGTCATGCACGCTTTCATTTGAAAATAAATTGACCTATTTGCAATTTACTATGTAAGGGCTCCTTTCGATTTTGATATTTATTGATGTGATTACTGAGTTGACTGGGACGGTTTGTTCCACCTAAGAGTTGCTTGGGTTAAACATTTGAAAAAAACTATATGCTATTTTGTTCCGTGTCTGAGCAACAATTATCTTGAATAGGCCTGGAAAACATTTGTATAAAATACTTTTTAGTTCACCAAGCTGCCACAATGATCGGCAGATACTTCTAGTAAAACTTTTACGCTGCTTCGTTTTCCTAAAGTTATCATAGACATTTTAAATCTTAATAAAAAAAATTAGTAATCAGTTTACAAATAACTACGTCTTCGTCACTGTCGTCGTCGCCCTGGGCGCTAATCTGAATCATCACGTTAGCTTCTATAAGCTCAAAAAGTATGTGACGATTGAGGAAAACTAATTGCTTCAAAGCCGGACACAAAATCCCCCAAAAATCAGAAGGTGTAAAAAAAGGGAACAAGGATGTAGTGCTTTTTTTGGGACTTCGGGACTTCAGGCGTCCTATGTAAAACTTGGTATGCACGTACTGAGTGGCTAGTTCAGAGGTGAAAAGCAAGGATTTTTTACCTCCGAGCAGCCGATGAAATAACATATCGTGCGTCAAGGGTATACTTCCGACCATTTTTCGGTATATCGAAAGTGATAAACTAATTTTTTCAAAAGCAGTTTTGCCTAAAAAGTATTTCTGATTGAAAGATTTACAAGAGTACTTGTCTGTCGTGCATTCAAAAATAGACATCGATGATTTCTGACTCATAACTACCACAATAGCCCATATTCCTAAAACCGTTCGGAATTGTTTTACTTACGGATATTTGATCCCGATTTTCAAGGGAAGACCCCTGAGAGCGAGGTTGTGAATGTGCGTCATATGTAAATTTGATATGCAATTTTATATTGAGTGGTTTTAGTCATTGGAGACTGTTTTTAGGGCGGATCTCTGATTTTGGTATCTATAACCTTTTTTGGATTTTCGGTAAATGAATTTCATATTTAAGAGATATCAAAAGAAAGCAATTCCTGACTGTGCGAAATTTTATCCTTCAACTATATTTAAATGCATATGACGTTATGATGTCCACTGGCATGAAAAAGAATAGTTAAAGAGCCTATGTCACGGGTACGAATAAATAGCGCTGTATTATGGAGAGGTCAATCTCAGCAACGAAGGAACGAAGCGGATATTATATGCTCGGCACGTGAACGCAAGCACTTCATCCATGCCCGAGCAATAATCGCGTAAATGGCACCACTATGGGCGATATAGTAGATAAAAACCGGCCTTACGGCCAACAAACAAGGTTATCAAAAAAAAAGAGAAGACAAAATTACCGCAAAACATATTTAGTTAGCTTTGTAGATTTGAGAGTATTCTCACGCGCACTATACATGCGTAATATTATTCATGCCAACTAATTGGCAATTCTTATCGAGGACTTTTTTCAACTCTTTTACGAATTTGCATTTGTCAAGTTTTATCGCTTCCATCGCCATCTTTCTCTCTCAGTGATACAATGACTCGTAAACAAATTACTCTTAAAGAAATTACCATGCAGGATGTTTCTTTAGTATTGCCTACAACATTCACTTTCTACGCGTTTTTTTCTTATATTTTAAATGGATATTTGGAAATCGTATTACAAAGACATGAAAGCTAAAATGAGGATTCAAAGTGAGGATGGTAGAAGCTTATTTTCACCTTAAACTAACTGCAGGTGGTTATACGCCAACAAACTGCATAGCCTTCCTTCTACGATATTTGGTAACCTTACCTCCCTGAGAATGCTGTAAGTACCCGTAACTTGCAATTTTCAGTTGAAAACTTTTTCATCAATGCTAACGTTCTCATGCAAACGTTGAATCCTACGTCATAAAAATCTAAATGATCTGTGTTTACCAAGAATATGATAACACGTTTTTCCCTGAAATGAATTCTAAAGGTCAGAGAACTGATGTATTCGAACTAATTTTCCAGTTCTTAATTGTGCACCTTAAAACTTAACCATTTAAGCTATGGGGTAACTGTTTAAAAAAATATTTTACAGGTCCTTGTCCGTTAACCAGCTCAGTCAACTACCACCGATTATTTTTAAGGAAAATAAAAACCTAGAGTGGCTGTAAGTAATAAAAGGCCTTACTCTTCATAGTTACTGAAGCTGTATAGTACTCAACAGCGATCGATATATTAGACCAGAGGTGAATATAAAAAAGGTCCTAGAATCAGACAATCATTCCAAATAGATTTCCTTTATCTTTTCCTCTCTTCTGAGTAAGGAAAAGTGCGTCAGTCAGTGATCGAACGACTAAAGCTGAGGTCACTGGACTTACGGGGAACTTATATTCCTCTAGATATCCCGGCAAAGAAGTTTGAATTTTTTCGTGATTTACATTGACCTGTTTATTTTCCCCCTTGATTACTTCCAACTAGTTTCACGTTGGGTTAGTTAGCAGTCAGCGTTAATAGTCCTTGCGGCCCTGCGGCCTTTTAATTAAGAACATAAGACAAAAATCCCCATATAAGGGCAGTAGCGACCACTTGAGTAAGGCCAAAAAGCCGTGCAGCCTCGCGTGGTGCGAATGCAGAAGAAATGAAGAGAAAGAAAGAGTGAAGGTCTCACGTGCGTCGCCTACAGATATCTACACTACATCAGTTCCTAACCAAAGTCAGAGACAAGGAAAAGCCAGAAAACAGACAGGGAGCTTTTATAAGATCAACTGCTCATACTGCAAGTATCCTTTATCGGAAAAACTTCAAAAACAACCGCATGACTGGACACAAACGAGAGGCAATAATTGATGACGTCAAAATTCACATCGCTGAACATTATTCACTCTATGAAGACACTATCAACTGGGACTCTACGTAATTCCTGACCTACAGCTTCAACTACTTACGACGACAGATTCTGGCCAGCAGATTTACTACCTTAGAACAGACTTCCCTCAAAATATGTCTAAAACTGCCAATATCATACAAACGTCTTATTCACGGTATTTGAACGACCTTTAACGACGGATCGAAGCCGACCAATTACGACCGACTAACGGGTACTCGAGTCTTGCAGACAATAACACCATGGAAAAACTGACCAATCAGTATGCACGAACCGGACTATGTGATTGCGCGCTGTCTTTGATTGAAAGAACGTGTTCTAACAGAGTACAAAACACGGAGCTGAGCTAAAGCTGTTACGCTATCTGCCAATGTTTACTATTTTTTTGTAAACATGCCGTGCGCCGTGATTGATGTTATTAAAAAACGTGAGCAGAGACGAAAATCCTCAAAGAGAAAATGAAATGGGCAGTCCGAGTTTCGAAGGTTTTCACTCCCAGTGAGATTGTGAGCTTTCTTACGGCAATAAAAATCCAACATAGATAACACTCGTATAGCATATATAGTTTCGTGTTCTAAAACAAAATAGAACCAAGCAGGAATCATGAAAAGCATAACCAAACTGGCATAACTGCTAAAATTCATGTAAATCATGACGCTGTCAGAGCGACCCTGCGATCATGATGAGGTCAATCGCGGTTAACTGTAAATTCGGCTGTCGTTCATTCAGTAAACATACGACTTCAGCAGTTTGTTTTATAGTTGCCATATGAAAAAAAATTTGCGTGTCTTTATTAGCCACAATTAGATCGGATTTAAATACACATTTCACTTTAAGATTCTGTTATAAGACTGAAAAACTTCTGGCAACAGTGTTAAATTCGACCTGCCGAACGTACTATTTCAGTTTGTGAACTAATACAGATTGTGCACTTTGATGGTTGTAAACTTTGATTGTTTGACATTCATTTTTGACAGCTTTGGTCTTATTCAACCAATCAGATCATTTGAACCATTCTAACAAGGATTCTGAAACTTTATTGATTTGGCTTATTCTAACTTGATTCATGAGAGTATAGAACATGCCGACAGCGCTTTTGCTTGCTTCTAAAACTACAATTTGTTTTGAAAATAGTAAGTAATGCGTGGGAAATTTGACGGATTCTTTGTTATAAAAAAAATAAAGACAACTCCATCAAGGGCGTGGCAAAACTGAATTGCTCCCATTTGTACTAAATAATATCGTTGGAATATGCTACTTTGAAAACAGTCTAAGGGATAACGCGGGTGAAAAACTGATCGAGACGACGGAGAGATGTCTGTGATACTACTATCACACTATCAGCTGACTCTAGATCCACGATATCTTGTTTGCCTCAGTAGCTCGATATACCAGGGTTTACTTTGAATAACTGTTGTAATCCGCAAGTTTTGTGTCTGTTCATGCTCTGTAACTATTACTTTGTAGCTACCATTTAGTTTCCCTGTTGATGCACGTGTTTACATCTCGTACCCGTGGTGCAAAGTCATGCCTCTACAGATAAACATTTATTCGTTTGCCTAGCCAGTCCAATAAAAAAAATTTGGGCATTTATCTAAAACATAATTTACATTTAAGGTATCTGTCCCAAAATAAAATCGAGAATTTACCCAAAGGGATTTTCAGCGGCACGAGAAAACTTCAGGTTCTGTAAGTACAACATTTGCAAAAATCACCTGATGGATTTTTCTTTTTTTGTATGCTTAAGAAGCACTCCATATCATCCAATGCCATATCATACTATGACATTACCGACCACACCACATGTAGATTACTGAGGATCACATAAACCATCTCACGGCCACACTTTTCCCCATTGAATCACAGCACATCATATCATTTTGGAACCTTCAATACTGCTCAAACTTTATAATTTCTGAAACCCTCAACGAAAGACATACCTTACTATCTCAAGAAGCACTCCATATCATACGATGCTATACGATGCCAAATCATACTCTGACATTGCGGACCACACTACATGTAGATTACTAAGGACCACATAAACCATCTCATATCCACACTTTTCCCCATTGAATTACAGCACATCGCATCATTTTAAAACCTACAACATTGCTCAAACTTTATAATTTCTGAAACCCTCAACAAAAGACACACCTTACTATCTCATACAGTACCACACGTCATCATAAAAAAGAACACTATAACACATCGCATCACATCGCATCACACTTTACTATGTCATACTACCCCACAGCACACCACACCATGAGAAGGAACACTGCAACACATCACATCACACTTTACCATGTAGTACCACACCACTGCACACCATATCATGAGAAGGAACACTGCAACACATCACATCACATTTTATTATGTCATGCCACACCACAGCACACCATATCATGAGAAGGAACACTACAACACATCACATCACACTTTATCATGTCATACCACACCGCACCACAGCACACCATATCATGAAAACGAACACCGCAGCACACCATATCACGAGAGGGAACACCACAACACATCACATCACACTTTGCAATGTCATATCACACCATGGCACTCCATATCATGAGAAGGAACACGGCAACACATCACAACACACTTTACCAAGTCATACCACACCACAGCACACCAAATCATGATAAGGAACACTGCAACACATCACATCACACCTTATCATGTCATACCACATCACAGCTTACCATATCATGAGAAGGAACACCGCAACACGTCATATCTTACTTTATCATGTCATACCACACCACAGCACACCATATCATGAAAACACACACTGCAGCATATCATACCACACTTTTCCATGTCATATAACACCAGAGCACACTGTATCATCAAAACGAACACCATGGCACATCACATCACACTTTACCATGTCATACTGCACCACACAATACCTCAACATTCCAGTCATACCCTGCAAAACCACTCTTTATTAATTCACACCATAACAAATGATCCACAAAACATCACACCACATAAGACTTTTCCGTGAGCAGTTGCCCTTACCTCATATTATGGTGGATATTACAGCTGTGACTTTTTACTTCCTAACGCCGATTTTTTTTCTCCACAGCACTATTTCTGATAACAAGATTCCCGGTGTCACCAACGAAAACTTTAGGGACCTTCCAAATTTGGTTATTTTGTGAGCATATACCCACTGATGAATTCATCATTAGACCACCACATTATATCTTAAAGCCCACTGGATCCTACTGGGCTTGCTAAAAATGAAAATTGGTTTATAACAATGACTTCCTGTAAATAAACACACTTTTAAATTGAAAATCATGAAATAGGAACATGATGTTCTAGCGCTAGCTTTATATTTTTTGCATCAAAAATACAGAGAAACCGTATTTACTCTGTTTTAGTTGTTGTCGTTTAACTTACAAGAGGATCCTGAAAAGACTTTTTTAACCCTTTAACTCCAACGAGTGACCAAGAAAGCATTTCTCCCTACAATATTAATACAATATCAAAGAGAAAAGTGATGAGAATAGGGAACACATCAGTTAGGGGATTATTTGTTGATCCTGCACCAAATTCTCCAAACTAACAATAGAATGACTGAATGGAAGGCAGAATGATTAATGTGATCTTGGGAATGAAAGAGTTAACGACTAAACTGCTTGAATTCTAGCGAATTTTATCCTACTGCAGTTAATATGTCGCTGGTACAATGGTACAGTAAAAAAACTTAACTGGCTTATTTTTGAGAAAAGATTACAGGTATTTATTGCGAGCACAGAGCGAGAGGCACCTTTAAAGAAATCGGGATCGCCAGTTTACACAAACCTCATGGTTTGTTCCGAGATCGATTTAGACTGGAATCCGGAGACGTTGGGCTATAAAAAAGGATGAATCTTCACGGCGTTTAAACATAATTTAAACACGCAACAAGGGGGCACAGGTTTTGACATCACGGTGTAGTTTCAATTTCTTATCCATACCTATTTATCGATGGTAGCCTTTTTAATTTTTAGGAATATGCAAAATAACGAAATGTCTGAGCTTCCTAACGGGTTTTTCGATGGAATGAAGGACATCATGAAAGTGTAAGTTTTTTTTAATGGTCAGTGAAACGTACAATATTATATTATATTATGTTTCAAGTTTCCTGCAATACCGACTCCGCAAATATTTAGCTGGTTTAGGTCAGTTTAACCTACTGAAAACTTGTAGCTATACAGAGATTGTTGTTGAAGTTACAATCTTTTGCAATTATATGGTTTCCTTTTTCCTTTTTTGAGGCCCCATATAATCACAGCCTACCTCACTTAGCCACAAAATAAGCGGAAACTTTGGTGCCTCAAAGACCATTCGATTCACTATCCCTAGATTGAGCCAACAGCAACCTGGAAAATAAATTATACCCCATATTTTGATCATGACCTTTCAGTGTGAGTGACAACATATCTTTTGCGTTTTTATCCTCACTGTATTTGCCCTCTACATTATGGATTATAGGATAGTGGACACCAGTCTTATGTGTTGTCATCTGACAAAAGAAGACGCCCAATGCACCTCTTTATACGACGACAGCTTCGCCAGTTGCGAGAGCATGTTCCGCGACTCAGCTCCACGTAAAAGTATTTGGGCAATCGGAATCCTTTCTTTGCTTGGTGCTGTGTTCGTAATTGTGTGGCGTCTAATCTTTAAAGAGAGAAACGTAGTCCAGCTTATCATGTTAATGCACTTAGCAGTTGGGGATTGCTTGATGGGCGTTTACTTGGTCACCTTAGGTGCCAAAGACCTGTTATGGTCGGGAAGTTACTATCTGCATGACTTCCAGTGGCGATCCGGTTTGTCGTGTCAGGTTACAGGTGCGATCTCAGTGCTGTCCAGTGAGGTGTCTGTAATGGTACTGGCGCTCATCTCTGCTGACAGGCTGAAGAACATCGTTTTCCCATACCATGGCAGAGGGCTGACTCGCAGGAAGGCACACATTCTGTGCGCGATTATTTGGGTCCTTAGTTTTGTCATCGCATTCCTTCCCCTCAGTGACATTGGCTACTTTTATGACGCCCTAGGGCGCCCTGCCTACTACGGACGTTCCGTTGTGTGCCTCCCACTGCAACTGTCCAGCTGGTTTTCAGCTGGTTGGGAGTTCTCCATCGCTATCTTTGTCGGGTTAAACTTCCTCCTATTCCTGTTCATGACGGTGGCCTATGTCGCAATTTTCCTTAAAAGTTATCGCTCCAGCCGTCAGCTTGCAAGGGAAGGAACCCGACGAGAGGTGCAGGCAAGAAAGAAGAACGCAAGTTCCAGAAGGGAGAAAGCATTGGCCAAAAGAGTCTTCTTTATCATTCTCACAGATTGCGCCTGTTGGATGCCGATAATAGTCATGGGCATCAGGTCTTTGGTTGAAAAAGATTACAGTCCCCGAGGAGATCTTCCTGCCTGGATCGCCGTGTTTGTACTGCCAATTAACTCAGCCTTGAATCCAATTATCTACACCCTATCAACCCCTCAGGTATGTCAGGGACGTAAATTAGTAAAGTGCAATGACGTATTACTCCACCGTGTTTATGCGTTAATTACGTATTCTCGCGGAATGCTTAAAAGTGGTAATGAAAGATATACTTCGTAGGCTTCCTAGGAAAAAACCTTATCGTGGAATTATCGTCCAGTGGAAGAATTTTTTCATAAAAGAAAGAAGTAGGTAGCTTATCAAATGTTGCGATTGCAAATGAACACGGCTGTGACATTGAATTTCAAAATGATTTGTTTCACACAAAAATTTCCCGCTCCTTGAAAAATATTATT